GGTCCCTAAACCCTAAACCCTAAACCTTAAGACAATGGTAACCTCTTGCACGCGGAGCCTGCGATCCTTCTCACAATTCACTCCCAACGTTCACCCCTTCTTGCGAAATGCAAAGCTCCTCCAGCACCTACACTTGCTAGCAGCCCCGATGGTCCCGTTGCTTGATCTTGCGTCCTAACGATATTAGTTGTTCAGCGCCTTCTATCAGAGCAAGTCATTATGTTTCTAGCTTTGGTTGGGCTTAAGGTTTTGATCTTACAGTGCAGCATGTGCATTTGGGCCTGTATGCCTTTAACCTTGAACTCTGTGTACCCTCCTCTCGAACATCCCGCCCTGTCCTCTCTTGCGATCTGTTCGTTTTGAAAATAGTAACTACACAACAGCTTGTGCTTATCCTTCCATGGTAGCTTCTCAACAGATGCCCATTTTACAGCCCTTCTTCAGGACTCCTGGAATGTCTGCATACTCGTCCCTGACCACTAGGGGTGTTTCTGAGCCCTCTGTTTTGAAATACACGTAGACCCCAAACGCTAATCCCTGACCCTCCGCCCTCTGCCCCGTCAGGGTAGGGGGACGACTTCAGTTAGCAGGGGTGTTGAGGAAACCCTTTTGCCCTTTTTGGAATCCTAAGTTCTTTAGCAAACTAAGCTATACTGAAAAAAGGGTGGCTTTTTCAGTCCGAGATTACCGCGGATCCTAGGTAGTATACTTACAATCTCAGAATCTCAGCCTCATAATGGCTCCCTTTCTCTCCCTTTTGAACCTACGCACTTAGTCCCCTGGCCCCGAACCCTAATTCCCAAGTGTGGTGTCCATAATTTGCCATTCCGTACTAAGACATTTGAAGGAATCCTTGTTTTGAGAATTCCCCATATAGCATTTTCAGTCCACCTTAAGTAGATAGAATATGGGGTATGTGGGCATCTTATTATAATATACCCCGAAGCCATATGCTATCTACTTGAGGGGTACTATACCGTAAACCTCCAACCTCGATGACTCGAAAGGGAACACTCGCAAACAATGCCGCTGAAGCAGTAGTGATCCCAATACATTCCCAGCTTTGGAAAGAGGCAAAACCTAGACCCTAAACCCTAGTTCCTAAGCCTGAAGCCCTAAATCCTGAACCCTAAACCCTAAACCCCTACACCTGAACCCTAAATCCTGAACCCTAAACCCTAGACCCCTACACCCTAAACCTTAAATCCTGAACCATAAACCCTAAACCCTCCAAACAAGGCAAGTTGCTGCAAGCCAGGGCCGACCTGCGCCTGGGATGCCAAGAGGAAGCCCTAAAAGAGCGACTACAGTGACCCTAAACCTCCAAACCCTGGTTGAGATTTATTTAGGTGCATAGGGTTTAGGGTTGGGGTTTGGGGCTTTGGGCTAGGGGCGTAGAGGTTAGGATGTAGAAGCTAGGGGTTTTTAGGACCGACTTGGGAAGTGGGTTAGCAAACAATGGAAAAGAAGCTGGAGACTACTGTATTACTGAGGCTCGCGGAGCCCCAGCAAGTCGGGGAATTGCGCTTTCGGTTTAGGGTTTAAGGTCTAGGGTTCCTTCAGTATACCCTAAACCCTACAGGGCCTTAGGGCCGTAGGGTAGGTGGGGGTCGTGTGGAGACACTGGACCCCTATTAGCAGGTTACATAGCGACCATTTGGAGATGTAAATGGGGTTCCCATACCCTAAGCCCTAAACCTTAGGGAGAGTCAGTTGGGGAGGCTTTAGGGCTCTAAACTTTTAAGCCCTTGGCGGTCTGGATCTGCTTGGATAAGGGCTTTACTACATAAGCATATATACCTGTAGCTTCATACAGCCATCTAAATACAACCCTAAAGCCTAAACTCTAACCAGTATTCCCTGTGGTTCTTTTATAGGGATAACCTCAAGGATGCGAAGGGTTTGGGCTGCGCAGCTTGTGGTCTGGGGGTGTCAAACTCTGATCGTGCTCTTTTTATTTGTTTGTGCACCTGTCTAGACTAGGGGGGTGCAAGGTTTGGTTGGGTCTGGCTCGAGGCTTCTTGCTTGGAGGCCTGCAAGCTTTGTGCCAGCTGGACCTGTCCAGACCAGACGGGTGCAAGGTTTGGATTTGGGTTTGGCTCGAGGCCTCTAGTTTATGTGATGTTGCCATGGTAGGCCCCTGGCAAGGTTGTGGGAGGCCTTTGAGAGACCGACGCCCAGGACCGGTGCAAGGTTTGGATTTGGGTTGCCTTCTGCAAAGCAGGTGCTGTTTCCTCGGCTCTGCACAGGTTTGGGTATCAAGGCCCCTAGAAAGTGCTTAAGGGCCTCTGAAACCTTCTGGCAGAGGCCCGGAGGGCCCTGGGGGCTGCCATGGGAGGACTCTGCGCCAAAGGGCAACCTGTCGCGTTGTTTGCCAAGCAACCTGCCAGGTCTACTGCGCAGCCCGCAGTTGCCTGCGGGACTTGAGCTCCGTTGTTAGCCGGAGGGCTTTTGGCTCCGGAATGGCCTCGCCTGCTGGCTTCGGCGCTCGCCCTGCTCTCGACGGCCCCGGGCTCACTCAGCATAAGTTACCTTGAGTAGGAGGAATCCCCTCCCCCTAGTGGCACTTGCCCCCCCACCTCCTCATGATAAAGGCTAGGTAGACTAGACGTTTGGTTTCATATAAACGGGGGCCTCATAACACAACACACGCTTACAATTATAATCCTTATCAAAGGGACCCCCGAAGTGGTATTCTCTTTCTCTTCCAAAAAGGGGACTGTCTTGAGAGGCTCCAATGTTTAGATGGGGGCCGGCGCCTCCCCTAGCCAGAAGTGACATCCTTTTTTTTTTACTTTGAATAGCATAAAAGACAATGCGCCTTCACCATCATGCAGGCACATTGTAAGAAGAAACAGTTCAAAGTATCTATAAAGGAATTGCTCCTAGGCACGCCGTAGCCTCCTGCTCAGATGAAAATCTCTCTATTCAAGAGTGCTTTGGGTTTTTACAAAGAGCCAGCCATCCTGAATGACCCTTTATACTGCAAACCCCAAACCGCCTTTCCTGTTCATACAAAACTCCTGCATGGCCTGCAGATACTAAACCCCAATAATTCCCAAGGTCGACCCGGAACCCTCAAGCCTAAACCAAAAACCTTCAAGCCCTACACCCGAAACCTTAATGCAGGGACATGCAGCGCTTGAGTATCAACCTTGTAGCCCCATACCTTAATTCCCTAAATGCACATATTTATAACTTATATATACATATACATACATATGGTTTGGGTTTAGGATTTAGGGTTTCGGGTTTAGGGTTGATGGTATGTGCAAACATATATGCATATCCCTATATAACCCCTACATTCCCTCCGAAGGGCAAATGACGACATTACCTCGTTGTCCTTGAAGAGGCCCTGTGCAACTCCTATATTCCCTTTAAAGGGACGCTGAACCCCCAGCCCCTAATCCCCAAACCCTAAAAGCCTAAACCCTACAAACTGTAATCCCTAAGCCTTATACCCTGTAAAAGGAACCCCTAAACGCTAAAAAAAAAAACTCTAATCCTTAAGCCCTAAACCCTAGGACCCTTAAACCCTAGGACCCTTAAACCCTGGAACCCTTAAACCTTAAAACCCTGAAACAATAGAACCCTTAAAGCCTTAAGCCCTAGAACCCTTAAACCCTTAAGCCCTGAATCCCTTAACCCTTAATCCCCTAACCCTTAATCCCTTACGCCTGAACCCTAATCCCTTAAACCCTAGAACCCAACCCTGCTGCAGCCTCAGGAATCGAGCTTCGCCCTCGGACGGCCGGACGCCGCTTCTGCGTGCTGTGGACCGAGGGGCGCTATTTTAATTTGTGTTTAGAGATGTAGGATTTGGGGGTTTAGGGTTTAGGGGTTCGGGTTTAGGGATGGGTTCAGGGATTTACGGATGTAGGGTTTAAGGATCAGGGTCTAGGGCGCTAGGGTTCAGGGTTTAGGGAGGTTAGTAGGGGAAACCATGAGTGAATATAATTGGCGCGATGATTACTTATCCCAAAGGTCCGAGTACCTGATAATCATGTACTTGCCCAAAACCTGTACTATAATTGCTATTACCCTAAACCCAAGTACCTAAACCCCATATACCCCTATATCTCCTTATATATCCCCTTTAAAGGGTGGCTAAAGTCCATATACCCTACATATCCTCATTTATTCCCTTTAAAGGGGACCTAATTATTGGGTACATGGACCCGCTGGGTTGTGGGTATTTGGGAGGTGTGTGGTTGCCTATGTTTTGGTGTTCGAAAGCTTCGATACCAGGGTTTTGGTCTGTCTGGAACTCTTGGGCATTTGCACACCCCAGCACGTGAAGCTCTAATCCTAAATCCACTCTCTCTCTCTCTCTCTCTCTCCCTGGCGTTTTCTGAACCTCATGCGACGTGCCCAAGTATTAATCCTATACTCCCCCCAAACCTGCACTACACTACAGCCGAATCCCAAGTACCCAGCTATCGCGTACATGGGTACATGGATGCTTGAAGTTCTATTGTAAACTGGACACGGTGTGTACCAGCCTTGACCTTGAAGCAGAACCCCATGTATTGAAAGCACTACCCACCCAGACCCCCAAAAGGATCTAAAAATTAGATCCCCTAGAACCACAGGGGGAATTATATAAGGATTATATAGGGATTATAATGGGTCTATATAGGGGATCTAATTTTTAGATCCTCCCAGGCGTCTGGGCAGGCCAGCATGACCTCTCTTTTTTGGCCGCTAGGTAACTTTCAGCGCACAGCAGATTCTAGCCCTAAAGTCAGGTACCCCAAACCAGGAGTGGATATGAGTGCATGTATAAGTAACCCTGAATCAGCAAGGTGTGTCGGCTAGTATCCCTTTTTTGGTTTCAAAGAGGCTTTCAGGAGAAAAGCTCCGCGGAACATAGTCCCAGCGTGGCCAGGCGTCAACCTTTCAAGCCGAAGCCTTCACAGTCCTGAACCATTCAACTTGTCACATGTTGTTTACGGTGCAGGGTGCTCTGAAACCTGCAGGAGAAAAGTCTACTGGAGATGGTGAAATTCCTAGTAGATGCCAAGGCAGATTTGGAGAAACTGGACGGCATATGGCTTCGGCTCACAGTAGAACGCTGACTGTTTAGCATGATTTTCCCTTGGTTAACCCTTCCATACATCTGGCTCTATGTGCCCAAAAAAATGATTACAGCTACCTCCCCTGAACCTTAAAGCAATTCCTGCATGATGGTGGCGTCATGGTCAGGGTCTTCGGCTGCTGATTCCAGGAGTTGAGATTGAGCGAAGATGGGGGTAAAGGGGTTTACATAGGGGATTATAGAGGGGACTATTACAGGAGCTATTAAGGGGGATGCTAGGAGTTTAGACTATAGCTCACATGGTTTGCGGGGAAGGGTTTTAAGTCTCTATTACAACCCCAGTTGTAGAGTGCAATCTGAGCTATACTTGCCGGATTGTTGTGGGGAGCG